ATATATATATATATATATATATATATATATATATATATATATATATATATATATATATATATATATATTCAGGCTGTCCTACAGAGTTCGATCGCCCTACATCGCGTGCGTTAATTGACCAATTTTCTTCCATTAATATCTCGATAATTACCGTAGTAGTTTACAAAGTGCTAAAGGGGATTCTTCCATTCAATTCAACGAGTTTTACCTCGCATACGAACACACTCAAATCCAAACACTCCGTGTAATTAATAGGTAGATACGTAAAACAACAATAAAGTTTCGTCTTTCTTCATAATCTCTTTATTACATTTTTCTTTTCATTGACGTTGGAGATGTATACAGAAAGTTTGATACACGGTTTGACAACGGTTATCAACGCTTGTGTACGAGCGTAAAATTGAACAAAAAATGTTTTTACTATCTTACAAATAACAATTATTCCTCTGTTTCGACCTACAGTAACAATATTAATCTCGTCGCTGTTACAATAGACGAGACGAAAAAAGGGATACGAACAATTCGATCGCAAATGAAAGAGATTGCGTATCGCTCGTGCGAATATATTTGTCGTGTTTTAATCGATCATAATACTCGACTTTTCCAAATGGGCAGTAAAAGAGCAGCACGTGCGGGAACGCGTGCCAAAGAGATTGTTTTTTATGTCATATTGCTACATCGACTATACCGCGAGTTATAGCTTCTCAAAATCGTGGCGTCGACATCAGTTTTCAGCGCGGTACTCGCACTATTGATACGCTGACACTTGCTCTTTCTCTCTTCTAAAGTGAGGTTGTGTAGCTGTAACAAGCTCGTGATCAGAATGGTTGTTGTCTGAACCACAGAGTAGGAACAATGAATCGTGTTTGTTAAGTGCACGTTGCGTTGTATTCCATATTCTGAACTCTCATCACTAAAAACGCCTCCAAAAATGACTTGTAAGCCTTCTTATTGGCTACAGTGATTTACAGCCAATCAGAAGACTTATAAGCCACTTTCAGAACAGCTTTTAGTGATAAAGGAGAGCTCAGAGTATGAGCCACTGTGTCGCAACGCTTAAATCCTCCGGAACCGTCAGCTTCACAAGGCCCGCGGGAATTCCCCAATTTACAAGAAGTTCTTATTGAAACTAGAGTCCTGTCATTGTAATTGTAATAATATAAATATTTGTTGATAGCGCAGATAGAAACATAACATTATACAGGAATAACATAAGAAAGAACACAAGAGTTTTTTAGAAATTGAGGTGAATTCCGTCTCACAAAGTTTTCTTTTGACAGCCCTGAGGCTAAGTGCTGCGAGACAGTCAGTCGCGCGAGGCTTGATCTGAGCCCGAGTCGAAATTTTGATCCTATGTTAAACTTTGAATTCTACACAGCAGTAGGAGCTAAGATAGCAAAGTAGATTTAATTCTAATGATATAATTTACTCCTACTTTGACCCTAATGTTGTCTGAAATTTCCGCTTTCGCTTTCTTTAGCATCAAAGTAGATTGCATAATAGTAGGATTTTAGGAAGTAAAGTAGGTTCAGTTGCGAACCTCTATTGAACCTTTAGCTTCTACATAGAATATATGTATTTTATAGAATTCAAGGTTCAACATAGGGTCAAAATTTCGACTCGGAAATGAGTGTCAATATCGTCAAAATAGGTTTCACCTAGGTTGTAGATTATCTAAGTAGGCTTAAAGATATTTTTAAGAGCGTCAAAATAGCGTCAAAATTTTTACAAAGTAGAGTTAAAGGTTCAAAAGAGAAGTTAATGAGTATCAAAGTAGATTTTACCTAGGCTATAAACCGTCTAAGTAGGAGTAAACTATCCTTACTATAATAGCGTCAAAGTAGCATCAAAATTTCGACTCGGGAGATCTCGCCGCGACCGCTATGTGCGTGAGGTATCACTGCTCAAAATAACTCCGCAGAACGCAGCTATTTTTCATTCACGCGTCGCGACCTCAAGCGCAGCAAAGGGTTAGAGCTGGTCGAATCGATACAAACGTCAATAACTCCGTTTGTACATGTCGTAGCGAGCTGAAACGAAAACCTTTGGAAAGAGGACATCACTGCGCTTCCGAGGACGTCGTCCTGCTGTGAAGCAAACAGTATTATTATAAGAACGAAAGATATCTTACGTTCGCGTTAAAGTGAACATTAAATCCATATTGAAAACGGGAAAGTTCTCGACTTGTATTTGCGATGCAGAGCGTCAATTTTACGATTTCAACAGGTGAAAATTGCAATTTAAAAGAAAAGCGAAATAATAGTGAGCTGCAGCTAATAACACAAGCCCACAATTTAAAAAAAGTTGTCTGTGTTGGGGGTCTGACTAGGTGTACTATACGTATTTTGGGCTGCTGAATCCAAATCCGGCGTCAGATTTGCTCCATCACCCTTGAGTTTCCCGGAAAATCGAGGAAATCGTGAAAAGGAGCAGATATCCAGATTTTTATGGAGACATGTATTCAAAAAGAATTCTAGAGTGACAAATAACCCCATAACCCCACAACCAACGTCGAAAATACATTATGTACTTCAACATGGAAAACGAATCATTCTACACGAAATCCCCTTACGGGGCAGTTGTCATCGTCTCCAACATCCTCTGAAGTAGCAGGATTTATCTGATCGACGATCATATATTGTAGAATTGATATTTCGAGTAGAAAAAAGATTCCATCTCGTGGACAATAACATGAATGTTAGACCATGATATGACCATGATAGGGCACGCACAGATTAAATTTTCTAATCTATGCGATGTTAAAGGATTGATGGGTGAACTAAAACCGAATATGTATAATGGTATATGGGTTATTGGGTTGTTCTAGTCATCAGATGTTAAAGTACATAATGTATTTTCAACGTTGGTTGTGGGGTTATAGGGTTATTCATCACTCTAGAATTTTTTTTGAATACATGTCTGCGTAAAAATCTGGATATCTGCTCCTTTTCACGATTTCCTCGATTTTCCGGGGAACTCAAGGGTGATGGAGCAAATCTGACACCGGATTTGGATTCAGCAGCCCAAAATACGTATAGTACACCTAGTCAGACCCCCAGCACAGACAACTTTTTGTAAATTGTGGGCCTGTGTAATGAAAGGCTGACTTTGTTTCAGATATAAAAAGCGTCCGGATTTGAATGTCCAAAAGTGCAGGCAGGGCTCTTTGCATTATATAGAAAATCTCTCAACCAATTTACAAACAAGCACGCTAATTTTTAAGATCATATTGGAAGAAACTTGGTCAATCAAATGTTGCAAAATATTTAAGCAGAGGAATTTTATGTTCAGCTTAATGAGTTCTGTCTGTATGTGCGAACGGTCGGACACCTAGATCCAGACACATACATATACATATGCTTTTTGCAATCGTTCATTTTTCCACGAGAACTTTTCGCACGAGGGACAATCGATCCGAATCGGCGCCACTCGAATCGGCCCGATGCGGTAAACTTTAGTTTCCACGGCAAAGTGCACTTCGCGTCCCCCCGTCCCAAGCCGTCCCGCTTAATTACTCATTCGGAAAGTTCGTGAAACTCCCTTTAAGCAAGTTCTCCTCCCGCAACGCAGCGACTGGAAGAAGGAGCACGCCGGTGCATCGTCGTCGATATGCGATTACGCGAAATAAACTCGCGCCGATCAAACAAACTCGCAAGGACATTCCGCCGGCACTTCGCTTAATAGTTCGACAATCGCTTCGCCCAAATTTCGCCGATCTTTTCGCCGCGACCGGTCGTTCCCGTTTCCGGGTTTATCTTAATCTCGCCCTCTCTCATTGTCGTCTCATCCGCGCCGGGGCCCGGGAACTAAATGCTCCTCTGCTCGAGACCGTTCAATAACTGAGCAGCTTCGCGACGTTTTCAGACACCGAGAACCCCAAAGTCACCATGTGTCCCACGTCCTTCGAAGTGAGACTCAGCCCGGGCGAGCGAAGCCGTTTGATTTTCTGGCAAGAACCGACGTTCACCGACAACATTGGCGTGGAGCATGTTTATAAAACAAGGGTAAGTTTGCCAAGAGTTTGCTCTCATGCTCTCACAATTAAGTAAGTAATAACCCATCAACTCGTGGACTAATTGCACCAGGGTTGGGAAGTAACGCGCCACTTGCGACTCCATCGCCGTTACAACTCAGACAGCACAAATTCCAAAGAGACGTCTTAATCTGGTAACTGGTACGGTGGAATCTGGAAGATTTCTTTCTTCTTTTTTCCTGGTTGTACTTTTGTCATTTCCTAAATCTCACATTCCCTCAAGATCTTGTGAGATATTGGAATTTAATGAACAATTTTTGAGATATTACAAAGATTTAAAGAGGAAGAAATGCGTGAGGTCTCAGACTCCACTATACCAGTTACGATTCAAACGATATGGGACGTCTAAAAGACGTCTCCAAGACGTTCTTTAGAAAATTGCACAGCCCAGGTTATGTTGTTTTCAGCAATGATCAGGTAACGACGGTTTATTAGTCGCATCAGCAACGATAACGTACTTACTTTTTTGGGCAACGGAAACGAATGTAACGAGCTACTTTTATCGTTGCTTTGTACAGAATACATTCACGCGGGATATGAGGCAGAGAAACATAAAAAAGGGGTCTTAAAAACTCGGTGCAGGAAGTAACGGAAATTGCAACGACTCGTTACCTCCCGTGAGTGAGGATAAAGGTTACGAGTAACGTTTCGAAATGGGCGACGGTAAGGAGTTGCTTTTTAGGAAGCATTCTTTCCCAACCCTGTACATTCGATCTTGAGTGCGGGCCGTCAGAATCGCGAATGTCTCTCATTTTTCGCGAACGTTCGCGAATTTACCGGCTGACGTCGCACACATGAGAGATTCCTTACCTTCCTCCCGGGAGTTCGTAGCTCGTAGTTAATTAAACGTTTACACCGTCGACAATCGAACGTGTGTCAAACTAAGGAAGAGCCTGCGCGAGGACGCCGTCCATTAATTATCCGCCGTTTCACGAAAATGAGGCAGCGTCGCGGTGCCGCGCTTTTCCTCTTCGCGAGGAAATATATATCCGCGCGAAAAACTAACCGGACGATTAATCATTGTCGGCCAACGCCCAGCGGCTTCTTTGTTTCCCTTTTCCCGTCGTTCCTTTTTCACTATTCCGCCGTTTTGCCGCGGAAAGGGTTGTACCATGTACTTTATTAACGTAATAACAGAGATTACCCTGTCCGCGCGATAACCGGCCCGCGGATAATTGGTGGCCCGCGCTCTCGATAGCGCGCGGTTATAAATGGTCTCGGGCATTATGCAGCCTGACGTTCAATCTGATTAGACAAATTGAAACGACTGAGTGGGAGTCGCCTGGCCGATTGTACGAAAAAAAAAAAACGGAAAGGGAAGATCGTTGGTTCGCGCACGGTCCAATTTCAAGGCGCGAAACTTTGAAATTTCGTTTTGGGCGCGCTGCGAGTTCCTTCGTAAAGAACTTCGACTTGCGAACTTACAATCACGTCGGAATTGGTTGATAGGACAGATTTTGCGAGAATATGGCGGATTCAATGGAACAGATTTTCAAACATGTTGAAGCTGGTTTTGAAATCACTGCTTGCTTGAACCTGGAACTTGTTAAAGAACAGTAAAAATAATCGATTTTGCCAACTTATCCCGGCGGCCAAATAGTCCCAGTCTTCTCTATTCACGAAGTAAAGACGCGGTGAAAAACAACTCAACGAAATATGAATCTGAAAAATTTGTAAAAATTTCTCAAAATTCTCTCGTGTGAAATGATATTATAATATAATGTTTCATTAATGTTATCTAAAGTTATTAGCAGTTTGTACATTTTGTATATACCAGTTCATATTTATACTTACACAAGAACATACAAATCACACAGCCGCGTCATGGAAGCCATGCTCTTGCAAACGGTCGAAGTTCGCAGGTCTCTTACTTGGGGGACTCCTTCGGCGGAAACGGCGCGAAGTCGCTCGCAGCGCGATCTCGCGCGGGCGGATGTCCTCCACGAAGGAGGGGAAGGAGAGACCTGCATGCAACCGCGCGAAAAGTTAATTTACGTGTGTGTATATCCGCACAGGGTCCCGGACACGAGATGTATCCCGGCGTTCACAGCGTGCGCTACGTCGCCTCGGACGCAGCCGGAAATCGAGCCGAATGCCATTTCTCGATACACGTGAGAGGTAAATTTACGCCATTGTGTGTGCGTGTGCCGCGAGGAGGTTCCGCGGCGAAATGCCAAACGCCGCCATGGATCTTTTGCAGCGAGAAGATTCCCGTTTTCTCTCCGCTTTTCGCGATTAACTCGTATACACTGAGAGAAAAATTATCTCAAGATCGACAAATATTTCTTTGATGGGTGCCATTAACATATTTATTTAAATCTAAATTCTGTTTATTTAAATCTAATATTGTATTACTTAAATCAGGTAAACAATATTTGATTTAAATAAAGAGAATTTAGATTTAAGTAAATATAGTAGCATGTTAATGGCACCCACATCAAAGAAATGTTTGTTGATCTTAAGATAATTTTTCTCTCAGTGTAGAAAATATTTTTGAGATCTAATTAATTGGGATCCGATTTGCCACAATAATAATGGGACATTTATGCTGATTCTGATCAGAAATACGTTTTAAATACGTGAATCTAACAAGTAAACCTACCCAAAAGTTACACTCCGATTTCTTTCTAATTCGGCACAAATAGAAATACAAAAAATATTTAGGTCATATTTTTTCATTTTGGCTCACTTTAAGTTTCACGGGCAGTTTACTTACCTCTTTTAGTAGGTTTACTTGTATGTGGAAAATTCAGACAGATCCTACTTGATTATTCCCAACGTTCCAAAGATTTTTCCTGTGATTTACATTTCAAACTAAAATTAAACAAAATATATGAAATATCTTGAATATTTACTCGTTCAAGCACGTATGCATACATATATACTTATAAAAAGTAAATACTCAAAGTTTGCGAAAAAAATCATTATAAAGAAGTTGTAATAGAAGGATAATCTATTTTAAGACAAAGTTAGGCATTCTGACTGATTTGGAGTCTGATCTACATTTGGGAAAATATAAGAAATTTCTATGCGGGAACTAACGTAATATGGCTGTCGGTGGCGAGCAATAATTAATCGATCTTTTGTGTTTCGTGTGCTTGCAGAATCCGAGGATGGCCACGACTCCGAGGTGAGAGAACAAAGTCACACACAGCCGCGTCGCGTCGCGCGATTCTCGCTTCCATTTTTTCTCTTCCCTTTCTTCTTCTTCTTCTTCTGTTGCTTCTTCTTCTTCTCTCTTACCTGCTTGTTCTTGACAAAATCTTCTCGCCGACTGTATAACCATAAATTCTCTTTTATTCGACCGCATAAATTCGCTTTATTTCGAGCGCCTGTGTACGCCGCGACGAGATTTCGCTATATCAATTCGAGAGCGACCGAGAGAAAGAGAAAGAGAGAGAGAGAGAGAGAGAGAAAAGAGTGAGAGAGATAGAAATAGAGACGAGGCTCTTCTTCACGCCGAAAATACCGAGATATCAATACTTCTTGCGCCGCGAGCGCGCGTTTGAGGAGAAACCGTTTTATCGCGCGCGAGCCTCGAGTGTCGAGAGCACAAAGGATCCCTTTCCCGAGGATATAACCGTAGATTAAAGCGCGAGGGAAATTCGTGTGAGAGAGCGGGGCCCGATGTACTTATCTGCTCGTTTAGCCGAGATTCTACAGAAGAAAGATGCTGATGTGTCCCGGCAGACCGCCCCAGCCGGTGCCGGCTTCTTCTTACGGGGTGAGTAGACAAGACTGTTCGCGATTACGCGCATAGAGAGCCGGCCGAGAGTGTCCCAACTCGATTTCCAGTGGCAAATACCGAGCGGCTGCTACCTGAGATACACCAGGATCTTCTCCGGCGCTTATCAGAGATACCCGGAGCATCGGCAGAACGGCTATCAAGACTCGGCCAGGGTTCCCTATCGCGAGCTGCCGCCCATCCAAGAGACCCACAGTCGTCCAGTCACTGGCAGAACTTACGACGTTGACGAGCGTAAGTGTTGCGTCGAACCGACCGGCGTGTGTTACAAATTACATGAACGGTATGAACGAACGAAGGACGCGCGGGCCCCCGCGAAGAGCCAGAGAAAAAATCGCCTACACACACACACACGCAGAAAAATATCCAATTCACAGAAAATATTTCTCTCCTGGTAATAGAGTCGATTACTCAATTCACTTTCCTTCTTTTAAGTATAATTGATTGTCTTTCGTAAAGAATATTTTCTTGATAATAGTCTTTAAATGTAGCTATCACACAAATTTGCGGAAAGCTCATTATCATATACCTAGAAGAAGAATTTATCCTCTTTCCAAGAATATCACAAAACTTTATCGAAGAAAAAGCCTGCATCTTATGCAGTAAGTAGACCAAACTTTTGCCTTGATTTAATGTTCTTGATTGAAATGCTAGAACTACTAAAATTCAAAAAGCATCTTGAATGTATTTCATTTTATTGAATTTTTAGTACTTTTATTGCATATATTTCTCGGTATTTTTATTTTTAAAGAATTTTCTGAATGTACATTTTTTTCACTTTGATGCTTACGGTGAGAGGTAACCGATGGTGGATTTGCGGATGTATAAACTTACGAAATACATGAGACGTAACTCGTAACACTTGCACGAATGCAGTGTGTAGTTTTTTGAGTGCGAAAGATGTAGCGATGTATGTGCAAATTGTTCTCTCTCTTGGCACATACATGGAAACGTACATTTTTTTCTGGCGACAGAAACGTTTAATTATAATTTGCTTTCGCTCGAGTGAATTGGATAGGCAAAGTTGAGCGACAGTTCCGATGAATTCGATGAAAACGACGAAATCCCCGGGCACTCCGAAGTCGCCGAGGTGTAAATAACGTTTCGCGAAATCATGCCGAAAGTTGACTATCCCGTTTTTGGTTTATCGCGTAACCCAATTGGTCCATGCTATCATGAGATATATATGACATCCAAAAACCAGTGCGGAGGCACTACGTGTGTGTGTGTGTGTGTGTGTGTGTACTGCATACATATGTACACACAACATCATGGATGCTCGAACATTTACTAGATCGAGAGAGTTATACGATTTTCAGCTTTACACACAACGCTTGAGATTGAAAATTGCATAAGCAACTCCAGTTACAATGACGGAGTTACAACGGCTTCAATTATAACGGCTGCGTTCAACAGAAAAAGCGGCTTTGCGACTGTTGCACAATTTGTGAATCTGATTGGGTCTTCTTAATCTTGGCTGGATTTAAGAGTACACACCAGTCAGATTCACGAATCTTACGCTGAGTGAAATTATCCGGTCCAAAATTAACAAACGGATATATCAATTTTTATATCCGATTAGGATATCCGATTAAATGGATACTTCCGATCATAATGGCATTTTATTAGATAAACCGATGAAAAAATAATGAACCGATATCCCTCATCGGATGTTTACTGATTGCATACAAAAATTTACCGGTATTTTCGTCGGAAATATCCGTTTGTTAATTTTTTATCGGATAATTTCTCTCAGTGTACGACAGTTGTGAGGTAACTTTCTTCGCTGAACGCAGTCAGTGCTCTCCACCTTACCCGTACAGGTGTAAGGCCGTAAACTCTCGACCGAGGGAATATTCGGGCGTCCGTGCACTGAGAGAAAAATGTATGATATTTGGAACTATAATGGCATAGTAAAAAGATTATAGTTAGGAATATAATTTTTATAGTAAATGTGACCATAATATTTGTAAGATTTACAATATAAGCATAGTATAACTGACCCGTGTAAAATTTTTACCAAGAATTATAATTATTTGAAATAAAAAATATAGTAAGGCAGCAAATATTGAATGGTAAGAGAAATTAACTATTTTATATAGTCAATACAATTGAAATATTAGGCAAATATACTATATTCCCAAAAGATGCTTTACTATATATATAGAGTAATAAGATGGTGACTATAAATCTGTGTTCATTCTACTATATCTTCATGTTTAGATGAACTATAAATATATGTTTGAGGCCAAAACGAACTATAAAATATAGTGAGATTATAGTTATTCCAACTATTTTTTTCTCTCAGTGTGAGGCCGTGTGTGTACACACGCACGCACATACACACGCGCATGCACAGACAAGCGATAAAAAAATAAAAAAGGAAAAACGACGTCGACCAAAGCGGAGAGCCGGGACGTGAACCAACGTGAACCGCGAGCGACAATTTGGCCGGCGATCCGAATAGAGCCGCGGGAGGAGGAAATCGGAAAAAAAGGCGAAACGAAGCGAGAATATCAGCGATTGTTCCATTATGGAAGGCGCACTTGATGGCAGCCCGCGACCCGACTGCGCCATCGATCGCCCGAGAATTCACGGCCCGCGATCGGCGCTCTGACATGACGGCGCGTGGATGACGCGAGGCCGATTCGCAACACGACGACCACGGGATCGGCAAGCAAGCGAGAGCGGAATATGTTCGACCTGCTGGCGCCGGGGAACCTCGTCTTAACCTTGCAATCGAAGCCACCCTTCGTGCTCGAGAGCGCCTTCGCCGTCGCCTTGACGGTGCTGTTGGCGGCGCCGTTGATCGCGCGCGTCTACCTCCTGTTCGTACGTACTCTCTTCGGATAAATCGCTCCAGCACCCGCCGCTCGACGGACCTCCAGTTTTCGCGGCGGGGAGGGAGGGAGGGAAAAGTAACCGTGGAGTCAATGAGAGAGGATGAGGAAAAGAGAGGAAGAAAAACGCGCCAGCATCTCGGCTCGCGACGTCGCGAGTGCATTCCGAATCGATCACTTCGCTCGTGCTAGCACAGGCCAATTGCACGGCGAACGATATAATATTCATATTTGCGTTACGCTCGCAACATTTCCTTCGGCAAACAACGATAGCACTCGCGTTTTTGTATCGCGCGCGGCGCGCCGCATTGTCGATGCGTTATCTGGGAAAATGTTCGGTAGGCGCGCGCTCTCTGAAATGGGTTAGCTATCGATAACTCCAGCTGTACACGCTTCCGCGGTGTTTGAACGGAAGTGCCGCTGGACTGTAAATTTTCCAATTTCTTTCGGCCCGGCCGTGATATAACGCTCGCGTTTATAATACAATGGCGGCGCCGCGGAACCGCGATCCCATTGAAACCCGCGACGCTCGCGAGTCAGTAGAGAGAGAGAGAGAGAGAGAGAGAGAGAGAGAGAGAGAGAGAGAGAGAGAGAGAGAGAGAG